ACCATAATGTCACAGTTGCACGGCATCCCTATGTACACCGTATAAAGAACTCCCACCCGGGATTCAGAAGCGACTCCCCATGTACTACCCTGAGTAGGATTGTTAGACCCTTAAACAGGATCGAAGATTAAGGAAATGCATCCAGCAGAAGGGCCAAACGGGCTGGTTTGCTTACCTCGAGGGATATATGCTCGATTGGCCTAGACGGACATCGGTCCGGGATTCGAACCCGTGACCGTGCGTGTATGAAGTGTGCCACTTGCCACTACACAACCTTTCAAGTCTGTTTATAAAGTAGATACCCATCTTAATAGCCAAGACTATCATTCACACGAAGTGTTAGAAAGAAGCAAGAATGCGAAAATATCTATTTCTGATCTTTAATCTCCATATATTTTCATCAGAATTCAACTGCCCTCATTTTGCTCGCATCGCTGGAGCTCAATCGCTCTCATCTTCACTCAAAAAGTTTTTGTGTGAAAACTTTCCCAATTGATTTGTGATTCTTTCACGTAATGAGAAGCTTAGCTTATATTGAAGGTATTCACTATTATAATCTAATTTGTTCGTCCCAATGACCGTATGCACTACCAAACAGTAAGCTCAACTGGAGGTTCGCGTAGGAATTGACAAATCGCCCTCTTTGAAGTGGTGTGGTCACATCCGCATAGTGTCGAAAGTCACACTTAGCCCAAGCTGAACGATCATGTTTCCCTTGTGAAAAGTTGAAGTTTGGCATAATCATTCTCGTTTTGGGATGCGCCCAACGTTTGGCTTCCACCGAAATCGTCGTCAAGCTTTGAATGCGTATATGGCCCATACCTAATGAATTGCAGTGACCGCAGCTGATGTATAAGCCTATATTTTTATCCACTCAGACGAGCCTGGAACCAGCTATACCACCCGGTGTTTATAGTGTCCGTTATTACACCTGTTTCCGCCCTTCTGCCACCTTCATGATATTAACTTTCAGGTACATTTTTAAGTGTGACCTTCGTTCAAGTCTCAGCTGGGATAATGCCTAGTGGTATGCTATCACATGTGTGGTGTGAGGAAGAAGCCCGGACCTATACCCAGCTCTCCTTCCTTTTCGAAAAGACTTGCTTTTCACTGGAGCTGCCTAATCTTCCCCTCAATATTTTTGTGTAGGCTACGAGTGTACGTTCAAACGTCCGAGCGCATGGAAACGCTCAGAAAAAAATGGATTGATCAGCGCAAGAACCACTAGATTCATAACCAATCTGCTTCTGGATTTTCTTGCGACTCAACTTTCGACATCGAATTTTTTAGCAAACTAAGCTGAAACTTGATTAACCTTACATCGAAAACACTCCTTTTTCAATCAGTATTCAATAAGAACATTATGGGAGGAGTGGTCGCACCGATACACTTCTGCACTGCCTGAACCTGTCCTGTCTATTTCTGCGAGTCCATAATTTTACTTTTTCTCCTTTCTTCTCGAATAATCCTATCAAAACCTTTTGTAAAAGGTAGTTGTGGTCGTCAGATCGTCTAGTCCACCTTTTTCCATCTTCAACCTTATTGCATACTTATTGTAATAATGTCTGATGGCACTTAATGACTTCTACAGCATCAAAAGAAAACCTGATTGATATTTCTATGAAATAATGGTTGCATTCTTCGTACCGTCTCCTCTAGCAACTCATCCACACACTTGTCTTTGTTGCGTCTCTCACGAGCTCGTAGGAGGTACTTGCTGAAGATGTAATTTAATATTAATGTGAATGTGTTGTAGATGTAATATGACTCCATATTTGGCTAATGGATATCGTAGCCTGCTAAGGTAGACTTGTGCTCAGGGGCTACTGGTTTTTGTGCGACCGATATTCCCAAGCATTCTGTCAGTCCATCTATCCAGGCGAACACTCGTGCGATCCTCTGCTCTGTTTTTTACTGGACTACCCCCGACCTCTCTTCCTTTTCAACTACCGCTGACCTATTTTCTTCTCAAAACCCTTCTATCTGAGCTTTCATAGTTTTTTTTTTACCCCTGCACTGAAATGCTGTTCAGTTTGGGTTATCTCAGCCAGTATGGTATGTTCTAGGAAGCTGGTATGATTAATTAGTTTGATCATATGAAAACAAAATATCGAAGGTATGGCGCATTCTAGAAGAACAATGATTGACCAGAGTTTTACGTAATGCTAATGTACAGTGCATTCAGATTAGTGCGCTTTGACTTTATCTATGCTGTATATGCTACACTATGCACTGTCGTTATCTGACCGTAGCAGCCTCCTCGAGGTCCCGGGAGACGGGCGTTAGGAACGATTATGGGTAATCGATTTGCCGCACGCGGCTGTCGCGGACCTTTCTTTCGCCGTTATTACAGCTCTAGCGTTCTTCATATAGCTCAATCGATATGCGACCATTATTTTATGCATAAATCTACTATTAGTACTTTTGTTCTTGTATTTCTTACCTACTGCTGCATCCTGCTACATTTCTTCGCGCGCGACGCCCCTCTCACCGCGACGCGACCATTTCGTTCCTAACGCACCACACTCTCGAGGTCCCCACTCCGATTTGATCGCAATTGCATAA